ATATATAAGAAATAGACATATGGTATCGCGGACTTTTTTTAGACGGAGTAAAGATCTATATTTTTCTAGAACATTGTATTTACGTATCCCGAACCATAACAGCGCTTTTTCTTCTGACTTCCTTAACAAATATAGGCTAGCTGAGATATATAGCCTAATGCTGTATAGCCTATACTATTCAACATGAATCTGGCTATAATATCCAAAAAAAGATTTTTCAAATCGGACTGGTAGTTCCAGAGATTAGCACGTTTAAACAAACAAAAACCCTCTTCTGCTTTATTATATTAGTATAGATGTTGCATCGTGTTCGTGTAACTTCGTTTTTATTCTAACGGTTCGGAACACCGTACGAACAAGACATGCGTGAATACTAGTGTCGATATGCTCATCACTGATACTATCTCTGTCGGGCACGATGCCAGGTGAGACAGCGTGCTTTTTGGCCGCGCCCACCAGCGAGTTCGAGCCCGCGACTTGTGCCACCTTAAACACTTCCGCGCCTTTAAACTCAAGTCGCCGGTTGTCTTCTCGCACAGACTCATAGTATCTGTATCTGTGCAGGATTTCCTCATCAAAAAAATTATTATGACTCTATATAAAATTTCATAGAATTTTTTGACCGTATCCCTTACATTACATCAACAGTTCTTAACCTTTCTTCTTTCATAAATCACGAAACGTAACGAAATTTAAAACCGGTTTTCAATCCACGCCTACAACTGACATGGATGGATACACCATTGACACTCGACAGTAGTCCAACTGAATTTGCATCGATACTGGGTCGAGATATTCAAGTAAAAATACAATTGATTTGGGTCGCCAGCCAAAAAGGTTGAGAACCGCTGCTTACAGTATGGGTACCGTATAAATACCTCTCGACAAGTTCTAATCACGGCGATCGATTCCCATTGAATCCACAAGTAAATAGCATCTAAAAATACTATAACGGTAAATCAAAAATGATATTTACCGATTCGCTGTAAAGGATAGTGTTTGCATTTTGAGTGTTAAATTAAAATGATTTTACATTGATTTTTAAATCGATAATGATCGTCATGCTCTAAATTTGAAACAGATCGGTGGCTTTAATTACAAAAGCCAATTTGCATTGCGCCCTTAACAACAAATTTACATAACCAGCGTAAAGCAAAAACGACTCTTGTGACATTACAATAAGGGTTAATATACAATCAACAATCATAGCCCACACTCGACATACTGTAGACTTCAGAAAAACTACGTGCTTAGAAAGAAAATATTGTTTAAAAATCTTAAAATCAAATTAAATGTATGTTCACACAGCTTTATTTAACTTGCTATCTTAGCCGCTTTTTTACAAATACAACTTTTATCTGTCTTTCGAAAATTCTCTTACAAAAATTCAGCCAATATCTAATCAGATATTTATAGGAGTTTCATCGTCCGAGGCATTAAAATGTAACATGTGTATTATGAAAATCATAGAACCATTATAAAGGGAATGTTAATTTACAGTGTAAGGTAACAAAATATACAGAAACCCTCTACAACGACCGTTATATTTGATCTATATATACAGTGAAAACCCATAAAACTACTTTTTCTGCAAAAATCAGGCAAAAGTAGTTTTGACTAAGTACGTTTGCCAATACCCCTTTAATTTTTTTTAAAGTGTACAGTGTTATTTTTCAGAGTATCCAAATTGTATATTTAATTTCAAATATATAAACAATGATATATCGTTATTGTTGTTCAAAATATGAGTAAATAAGGCTTCTACTTTTATTTGAAATTATCCCAAATTGAATATCATTTATTGTGATATATTACGCGTACGCGCGCTCCTCTGTGTGCGATTCAATTCACAACGTTTTTGCCGACCGAAATAGTAGGCATTAGATGTTTATGAATGACAATCAATTACAATAATATATTACCACGCATTTTGAATTTAAAAGATAAAAAGGACAGATTAAGACTTTTATAAATTAATTCTTCTTCACCATTCGCCTATATTACTTATTTTTGGACATATATTGCAAAATAACCCCGTATAAATAAAATTGCAAGTGTCTGTCTGTAACATCAAAATAACTGCTTTTTATCGAGCTCAGGAGTTTATTTCCACGTCATTAAGACAAGAAATCTTTAGAATGTCTGAACTGATTGTGATGTAACTTTACGAACAGTAGTTGTGGAAGCCACATCTACTCACATATGCAAACATTTACTACATCAAATCACACACCTAGAAACTTCAAAAAGGAGACGGTACTCAATTCGACTATATGTTTTTTTTTATGTGTAACTTTGTATTATTGTAACTATATATTATTTGTATAACTTTTTACTGGGCGAACCGATTTAGATGATTCTTTTTTTTATTTGAAAGCTGGTGCTTCACATGTGGTCCAATTTGGTCAATGTCTGACCAATAGTTCTTGAGTTAATCTTAATAATTGATAATGAAGTCGGTTGTACAAAATTTTTAGTTTATAAATTATTAACCATTATTTAAACAATAATCAAAGAACAGCAATCCGTAACCACAAAAATCTTCCGTCTTCGTGATTTTATAACTTAACAAAATACTATTCATCAATCAGGAGAATATTATAAACAATTTATTTTGTTCGCCAGTTAAAGTTCACTGCTTGGGCCTCTCCCGTTCTAGGGAAGATTCTCCTTTATCGTCACGCTCGGCAAGCTGACTGACGTTCGCAGTACAAGACGAGAGCACCTTTTTTGACCTTGCTCACCGCCGGTCTGTGTATTTTAATATAGTAAACGAGATGGTAATACCGCTATCTACCTGTAGCCATAGAATAGATTATCTTTATTCAATACAGATTATTAGATAACTAGTGATCGGTTGATTACTGCATCTCGACAACAACGCCACCTACCGGATCTAATTGTGAATCTAAACCATTCTCTAATCAAACAAAATTTCATCAAAATCGTTCGTCTAGCCGTTTAGGGGGAGTTGAGTCTCATACACGCGGACAGAATAATTATATAATATATATAAACCTTTCCTCTTGAATCATTCTGTCATTTTGTTAAATTCGTTGCGTAGTTTAAAAGATCTAAGCGTACAGACGGCGGGAAGCGACTTAGTTTCATACTATGTAGAGAAAAGGCGCTGTCCGAAGCCTAAATCACGCTATTAAAGTTCCGAAACACTGCGGTATATAATAAAATAGCTCTGTACCGCATAGCATCATTCCGGCAGCCACCAGAGTCATCTCTTATGGATGCACACGGGACGTAATGGGTTAAAATGGATTCTCACATACTGCAAATTATTATTAGAATAATTTTCTGTCCTTTATCAAAGAGCCAAAGACTTAAATCACAAAATAAAATAAAAAAGTGAACATCTTGTCAATGGGTCACGTCAAAACGAAATGACGAAATAAATGTCACTGATAGATATTGGCAGAATGTACGTCTTTTTTCACTTTCCATTTCTATTAACAAATTGATTGATTTCGGTTACAGATATACCGAACACAATCATTTTGTTAAGCATTACAACAGTTTCATAGTTTTTTTTTTTAAATGTGTCAAAGTTATTAAATTATTGTTAAATAATTTAAAAAAATTAATAACCGTTTGCAATTTCATTATATTATAAGAATCAAAGTTTTAATCTTATCACGGCACTAACACACATTGGTCATTTTAAACATTGACACTTATTTCTTAGTCACAAATTAATTGAATATCACCATTGTATAGGATTCATCTGGTCACGCCCATTGTGACCACACAAATATTTTCTCGATCATACCTCAAGTTGTCAAATGTGTATGGTAAAATGCTATAAGTGCGAAAGCAGGAAGCACTCGTTTAACACCTTCATTGTTATCCATTTCATACAGATATGATCCGATACAGAATACATTTGGACTAATATCACATTTAATGCAAAAACTTAATTTTATAAGACTGTTGATAAATTCAAAGATTCAATGTAAAAAGGTCGTAAGTCTCTGCATAGTTCAATAATAGTATACTTTTTGAATTTAGTCTAATAACAGTGTTTACAGTTGATCAAACTCACACAACATTATAAATATATCTAACGTATATTAGAAAGGCTCTTTAGGTATAAGTTAACGCGTTTTATAACTACTGATAACTGAAAAACTTTAAAGTTAGGTGAATAAGGCGTTTTCGCACTAATCTAGGCATAGTGCAATTTTTTGAGTCAGTATAAAAATCATTTGGCACTATAAAATATACTGAACGATTAAAAATCAAGTAAAATATAATCCCATGTGAGATCAAACGCAAACCCTCCTCTGCCACTTAAATGAATGAATAAACAACTTAACTGTCTGTATGTAACATAGAAATTTACTTATATTTCTGGTCTCTTATAATATCAAGTGCCTGATAAAAAGACAAACCGCTGCAGTAGTGTTAAATAGAAGTATCTTCTGGTACAAGAGATAAAATAAATGTATAATTTATGGAGAAAATGGAAAACTACACTGCAAAGGACAGCAAAACAAAATATATGACACTTGATATTAGAACAATTGACAATTACGTTTGTCAAAACTTGTGTAAATATTTGACAATAATATAATATATAAAATACATCAAAAGCTTGTTGCGAAACATTTGACAGATGATTACATTAAAATAATGAATCTATTTTAATAGTCACAAATTTCAAAATGGTCTAAATTGGTTTCACATAACACGAGATTAAAACTTTGATATTGTAGAGGTTGAATTTAAACTCGAGATTGTCTCTCAAAACAACCTTAAACTTAAAGATTGTCATTGATATAGAGTAATGAAAACGATTTGACAGAGTAATGCGAAAAGAAATGTAATAAAAAATATAAGAAGCACTGAAACATCAACGTCATTTTGACAAGAGCTGTCAAATGTTTGGCAGTTCATCTCATATTCGTATATCTGTGTATAAAATATATCTAAACACGTGAACCGTAGGCAGCTGAACAAAACACGTAACAGTCAAATTACAACAAGTTTTAACTGACACTCTGGTTGGCAATCGAGACGACGGGCTGCTGGTTGTTGGCTGAGATGACGGTGGAGCCGGGCGGGATTTTCTGGGGCACCATACCGTCGATGTGGCGGTATTTTTTGAGCCGCGTCCACTGTCCGTTGTTGTAATTCATCTGGAAGTGCATCTCTGACAACATCGTTAGGTACGTGTCATCTGATTGTAGAACATTCTCTATGTTTTCTGACAGTTTAATTGTCACAATATTGCCAAGGTTCGGACATGGATTATCTGCAAAACAAAAATACTAATGTGAAGAAACATCTGAAATACCTTATTTTTCTACCGACTTCAAAATGGAGAAGGTACTCAATTAGACTGTATGTTATTTTGTGTGTTACCTAATAACATTTTTCTCGCTGAACCGATTTTGATGATTCTTTTTTTTATTTGAAAGCTGGTGCTTCTTATGTGATCCCATATAAATTTGATCAATGTCTGACCAATATTTTTTGAGTTATTCTTAATAATGTATATTGAAGTCGATTGTACGAAATTTTGAATTTTAAATTATATTCTCAATTGCTGGTGTTCTTAAAACCATACGGCCGACCCATTACCACTTCAGCTTTCAGATACATTGGGCTATGTCAGTAACTCTGCATTTACTACACATTTCATTGTTACGGATTCTATCATGTAAAGAATCTCAGAGCATAGCCCTTTCTATAGCTAGTTCAATCCAATACTAAGTACATAAAAATTTTATAGTAAGCAGATATTTATTCATAATAGATGTTCTGTATGTGCAATTGAATAGGAACTCATGATGGTAAATAATAGATTTAAATAACTTACCCCTGGACCCGGCCATGAAGCCAAGGATAAGTGCCTTCTCTGGTCTGGTAACACGATTCGCGTTCCGGAACATATCTTGTGCTTCCAGCATTTGTTCCCTCTGCAAACAAAATGGAATATTAGCGATGATAATATGTGTGTTATTTGTCTTAGCTTGTCGTAAAAGGCAACTATTGGGATTTTTTTTATAGTAAAGGGTGACGACAAGCAAGCACACAGCCCACCTGATGGTAAGTGGATGTTGTGGCCCATATATCTATATCTATCTTCGATTAAGAATCAAAATACAGATGCATTGCCACCCTTAGGACTAAGATGGAATGCCACTTATCCAGTAAAAAGGGTATCCGATTCTCTATACTCACCATACGATACACAGCAGCATTAAGCCGCTATTTTACGCTGGTATTCTGTGAGAGCGTGGTATGCTACAACCATAATATAGCTGCAGTTTGGCTTGAATATAAACAAACGCTTGAGATAGAAATAAAGCCTTAATGCTGCTGTATTTCTTAGGGTGAGTATAGAGAACCGGAGACCCTTTTTACTGGAAACGAGGCATTTCATTTTAATCCTCAGGGGTAAAAACGCATCTGCATTTTGATTCTTAATTGTGGATAGATGTAGATGTCTCAGCGCCACATCATAAACTTATCATCAGGTGGACTGTGTGCTCGTTTGTCAACCATTTTACAAAAAGAAATCGGAAGCTATAATTTTTTTTTCCGTCATCGATTTTATGACATCATGTTGCCTCCACAAGACAGAAACTAAACTCACAGTAAGTGAGAGTCCTCTACGCGGCAGTAACGGCGTCTGTTGTTGTTGTTGTGGCTGTTGCTGTTGCTGCGGTTGTTGCTGCGGCGTTTGTTGTTGTTGTTGCTGCTGCTGCTGTTGGTGCGGCACAGCGGGCACCGGCGGCGCCGTGTGCACTGCGGCGACAGTGGGGACAGTACCCACCGTTGGGACCGTCGCCGTCTGCACAGGGGTCGCCATTTGTACCTGAAAAAATATTGTGCTCTAAATTCTAGTCTGGATAAAGGCGTTTTAACACAGGAATATTTATATCGTCACCTGACTGCTTCGTTGTTCAAGCGGTCGTAAACGCAATTGTCGATCATGAGGTCAGGGGTTTGAATCCATCAGAAAATCAGTTATTGGGTTTTCTGACAAGAACTTCTCAGTAGCAACCCGGTGTCAGGAAGTTGGCGGTGTTTCACCCCCGTTCCACTCTCCGTTCGTGTCGGATTACCGTCTCATCGGACTTTAACAGTTTTTTTTTTATAGGATAAGGGTGAGACAAACGAGCACACAGTCCACCTGATGGTAAGCGGTTGCTGTGGCCCATAGACATCTACATTTCTCCTCGCCCATAGAGATCTACATCTATCTTCGATTACGAATCAAAATGCAGATGCGTTGTCACCCGTGAGGAATAAGATGGAATGCCTCTTTTCCAGTAAAAAGGGTCTCCGGTTCTCTACACTCACCATACGAAACACAGCAGCGTTAAGCTGCTATTTTACGCTGGTATTCTGTGAGAGCGTGGTCCTTCCCCGGTCGAGTCGACCCACTCGTGCTACAGCTATACTACTAATATAGCTGCAGCATGGCTCTACTATACATAATAACCAATAAAAATAGACATTTAACTAATTTTATAATATGATTTCCCTATATTCTATTGTTAACTAAATCAGGTGACTAATTGTATTTCAAATAGTTAAGAAAATATCTAACATTGTTTAAAAATACTTGCATGCTATATGTATATACTATATACTACATACTAATGCTATAAGCAAAACATGAGCGCTCGATTTTTACATGTGAACAACACCTATACCATGTTTTACGCAAATAAAGATTATTATTATTATATCTGATTTATCTATAAAGTTTTCTCATCGGGTTGAGCTGTTTAAATATAGTGTACAGGTTCTCTCTATTACCAAGTTTAAATGTTTTATTAAACTGAAACTGTATAAAAAGGGTTATTATAGTATAAATGAGTACATGATTGATAATAACCCCTGGGAATGAGGTGGTCGCTTCCAAGCAGTTTCTAAAATAAATTTTGTAAATAGTTCGTAATCATTTATATTGTAAAATTTATTTTTAAAAAAAAGTCCCGCTGGGTTTCTTGCTGGTTCTTCCCAGGACAGAGGGTTTTTTTTCGAACCAGTGGTAAAGTAAAAAATGACTTTCAATAAGAATTACACATGTAATGTATATTGAATAAAAAATTATTCTATTCTATATAATTGTAAACGAAAGATATAAATAAACATAAATATCAATAAAATAAAAACATAAAAAATACATAAATAAATAAAAACCCAACAAAAATCCAAACAGCCGAGAGTTAGGGGGAAAGGGAAAGAAACCGTGGACGATGCGGGCGGTATCGAGGAGCACCGCCTTCTGCATTTGAGCCTGGAGCGGTCCGTCACGGAGTCCCTCAGATGACACGAAAGGCTGACTGGGCTTAACCCGTTCGCAGAAACGACCACAGGAATAATTTAGGTCGGCAGACCACCCCACATGTCGGTAACCTAGTGAGCCAGGTCCAGATATTTTATGAGCTTATCTGTTTCGGCTTTCACGAGGTTCTCGTCATAAGGAATAGTAATGTCGACCAAATATATCCTTGACTGTGCCCGATCCATCAGCACAATATCCGGCTTATTCGCAAGAATAGTCATGTCTGTGATGATGGCCCGGTCCCAGTAGAGCCTGGCTTGGTCATTTTCGAGCACGGCTTCCGGCAAGTACTTATAATACGGCAGTTTCCGATCCACGAGACCGTATTTCAGAGCGAGCTCCTGGTGTAGAATCCTAATGGTGCTGAACAACCGGAGATGACATGCCTAAGTGACTCACCGGAATGGCGACAAGCTGGGCAGATGTCGGCGGCGCCATTCTTTAGGATGTATTTCCGATAGTTGTCGGTCTTAATAACCTGATCCTGTATCGCACAGACAAAACCTTCGGTTTCCCCAGAGGTCACCAAAACGTAGCCAGTGGAAGGAGGCAGTTGCATCTACGAAAGGCTTATATAGAGCCTTGTAGAACCTCCCGTGGAGCTCCTTCTCCTTGCATACGGTCTCCCGGTCGGAAATGCTCTGTACTGCTGGGTCTTGCCATTGCTCGTTGGCTAAGGATAAAGGAGTAAGCCCTTTATCACACGAAATGACGTCTCTGTAGAATGAATCATCCGATCGATCTCGCCAGAAAATAATTCGCGATTATTCATGGTGATAGCGCTTAAAAAGCAGTGCCTACCATGTTTCCGAAAAGTACAGCCTCATTACTGACGATCTCGTGTGATGCATCCTGTGGGACTTCATAACAGTGCGGACTTTTCTATCCAGAGCGTTCAGTTCGGTCTGAGTCCACCTGAGTATGCCGAAGGTATATATGAGGACAGGCATGACCCAACTGTTATATGCGTGTGTCTTATTCACGCCCGACAAAAGACTATTGAGCACTTTTGTCAAGCGTGCATTAAACACATCGCAAACTGACTGTTTCATATCCGCCTCATCGATACCTATGTTCTGTGACATACCCAGGTATCGGTATGTTTCAGCCTCGGATAGGGTCCTTATGTTGATATGGACATAGATAAGTCTATGCCTTCAGGGTTAGCAACCCTACCCCTTTCGACATGGACCGCACACTTATCCGTCCCCAGCTCCATTCTAATAGAATTGCTAAAATCATAAGTGATGTTTAGCAATTCCACAAGAGAACGACTGGAGGCGAATAACTTGAGATCATCCATATAGAAAAGGTGGGTCACTTTTGTACCTCCTCTCCGAAGCTGAAATCCTCTCCCGGAACCCTCCAGTAAGGTACTCAGAGGGTTCAGAGAGAGGCAGAACCATATTGGACTCAGATAATCGCTTTGGAAGATCTTATCCTTATGTGGTTCTCCGCAGCCGTCATCCGTTCGCCTAGATGACAAAGGATCGTACTCCACTGCCCTATACACTGCCCGAGGAAGTCTCGAACTGTACAGTCAACCTTATACAGCTCGAGGACCCTCTTCAGCCATGTATGAGGCACCGAGTCGAATGCCTTTTTGTAGTCTATCCTATTTTAAGCGCACGACATCACCTGATTTGAGTTCAGGTGACGAGTGATTCTCGCGCTCAAAATGGATGTCAGTGTCTTGTATATCGTGGGTAGAGACGTGATGGGGCGGTATTTGCTCGGGTCTGTGGTATCTCATTCTTTAGGAACCAAATGAGTGATCCCAGTAGTGAAGAGGCTTGGGAGCGACTTCTGGTCGAGAGCCTCTTGAAACTTTCGGGCGAGCACAGCGTGACACACCACGAACCCCTTCAGCCAGTAGTGATGCAGTCCGTCAAGCCCCGGACTTTTCTAGTTCGGGGCTCTTCGGACCGCCTCAGCTAAGCCGTCCGGCGTCATAATGATGGTGTCCATGGGCGTAATATTCGCACACTGACTCGCCACAACTTCCGTCCAAGGGCCCTCCCTGTGATTTACGGGCTCTGACCACAGGCCTCGCCAGAATGCGACAGTGTCGGCCTGATTCGGTGCTTGGCCATTGGTCGCTCCAATGATTTATAGAGCATTTTCTGATCACTCTGGAAGAGACGATTCTGGTTGAACCGGGTTGACCTCTCGGTATATCGCCGAATCCGCTTTCCCCAAACAGCGATTCTCTTTTGTTTCCTTTCTTTGAATTCTATTTTGATTGCCTTTGCGATACGGTCCTCAATTTTTTTTCTCCAGGCTGTGATGGCGCTACTTTGTGTACTAGCACGTCCAGTCGTGGGGAGCTTGGCGCTAATAATACGGCATACTGCCAGTGCGACGCCAAAAAGAATCGAGTCCGTATAGCAAAGTCCCGGCTGGTTTCCAAATAAGTCACCAGCATTGGGTTTAGAGCCCTCAGGACAACCCGATTCCGCTTACTTAGGGGTATACGGGGAAATCGCGGTTGCTTCTGGAGAGGCGTACTGTGCGTTTTCTTAATCGCCTCTTCCAATATGCTCCTCATTTGCTCTTGTTCCTGGGCGACAATTCCATCGTCGTCTGAGTCAACCACAAGGAGATCTACGGCGGCATCTACCTGTGTGGGTTGCTCTGCAATTCGTAGAGCCGCATCTCCTGTCGTAGTATTTTTATTCGACGAAGAAATAATCTCACCTCGTATTATTATTATTATTATTAATCAATTTGAATATCGCATCGGCGTCACTAACCGTCTCACTTTCTCTAAAAACAAAATGTCAGTAAATCCTACTCTATTGCACTTTGAACAGCGGCACTCTCTATCACACTATATTACATCTGTCTGTCTCGCTTACTCAATAATAAAGCAAATCCTTTTGCACACACAAATGTACTATTCAGGTAAAAAAGTTTATTTGAAATTTAGTCCCTTTGGAAGTAAAAATATGAAAAATATGAAATTGTTTATGGAAAGATAGGTAGCAAGTGTTGTACTATTTTGAAATCTTAACTAAATGGGCCATTTTTTAAAACAACTTGCCTATGGTAGTATAGTACATTCTTCTTAAAAGACAAGGCGTTATTTATGTGTTAAAACGTTTTTAACCATGACTTAATTAAACTTTATTTTTTTGCACTAAGCTCACAATATTAATTATTGGATTTGTGAATGCAATCAATAGAGCATAGTTATTTAGGATTACATTAAAAAAAAGACATTGAATAATTTTAGAAATTTGTTTTCAACATTTTCAAATTTATACCTATTATAACTTAACTTACTTGGTTAAGCTATAATAGGTATATGGAATCCTCTTTGTTTGCTAGAACTGGGGCAACTTAACTTATCGCCCAGTACATCTTGATATATATATATTATATAAGTTATAAAAACGAACTTACGGGAATTTGATGTTGAATAGGTTGTGTCGCCCGAGCAGCCGCTTGCACCACAGGTTGTGTCATCTGATAATAAGAGATGCATGAAATTAGTTTTTTCTTTATCCCCTGTTCTTTTAAAACATAAGCTAGCAGCCTCCATGCGTCCCACTGCTGGAGACAAGCCTCGTCTTTTTTTTAGGTGAATCAGAGCAAAAAAGGGTACACCGAGCTGCCTTAATGTGTGTTTGGGTCTCTTGTGTTGGGCTTCTTGGATTTTGTTAATACCTCTTAAACATACCTAATATATAGACTCCTGTATAGAGCGGTCTTATATGCCTGTACATAGCAGTTATGGAGAGTACTAAAGAATTTTTTTTATCACACCCAAAAAACAATCTAGTTAGCCAATGAAGTTTTATTTTGTTTTAGTATTTTTTACACTGATAATAATGTGTAAGACCAAAATAAGTTACGAACAGTTGAGGAGTCAATAAACTGTGCCTAAGTAAAGAAAGGTTTTTTTTTTTATAGCGTAGAGTGACAAACGAGCACACAGTCCACCTGATGGTAAGTGGATGCACATAGACATTTATGCTCAATTAAGTACTAAAATGCAGATGCGTTGTCGCCCCTGAGTACTAATAGGGGCTACACACGATCACTTTTAACTGTCAGTTTTGACTGACCAGTTTTGACTGACAGTGAAAACTGACGTCCTTTGCACCCACACACGTTCACTTTTAACTGTTCTCTTTGACCAAAAACAACATTATCATCTCAAGATGACATCAGCCGACGACAACGCTTCAGCCGCGCTTGGTTTATTATTAATTTTGAAAAATAAAAATAAAAAAATATACACAAATAGTGGTGTAAACAGTGGTTAAAAAAGGAAAATTTATTCACATGTTAATTTATTAACCGAACTAAAAATTGTTACGAAGGATTGGCACAAATATCTCAGAATGACTGAAGAAATATACTATCTTTCTACTACTATTTTATTAATCTACTCTCTCTAGTGTCTTTTCCAGTACAAAGGGTCTCCGGTTCTCTACACTCACCATACGAAACACAGCAGCATGAAGCTGCAATTTGACGCTGGTATTCTGTGAGAGCGTGGTCCTTCCCCGGTTGAGCCGACCCATTTGTGCTACAACTATACAACTATTATAGCTGCAGCATGGCTCTACCACGTAAAAAATAGTGTACATATACATGTACAGACCAGTTTCCTTTTTCGCGATCGCAACATAACTGAAGAAACACCGCCTACACACGTACAGTTTTAACTGATCAGTTCCGTCATTTCAGTTAAAAAATATGTATCAACAATATATCATCAGTTTTAACTGACAATAAAATAACTGACAGTTTTCATCGTACACACACTCAGTTTTCACTGTCAGTTAAAACTGATCGTGTGTAGCCCCTATAAGATGGAATGCCTCGTTTCCTGAAAAAAGGTCCTCCGGTTCTCTACACTCACATTCGAAACACAGCATCATTAAACTGCTATTTCACGCTGGTATTCTGTTAGAGCGTGGTCCTACCCCGGTCGAGCCGACCTATTCGTGGTACAATCATAATATAACTCAGGTGACTCTACCACGTTCTATGGGACATTTCCACTCTAAATGATAATTATAATTTACTTTATATAATATGAAGTTTTTCAATTTGTTTAAAATATTTTTTTTGAATAAAAATTTAACTTATTTGACATACCAAAATTAACTATTTTGAAATATTTAATTTTATTATTCATTTTCATGATTTTTTTTAAAATACGTAAGCTCCACACTGAGTTCCTCCTGTATCGTGGGAGTACACTATTGGTACTACAGTATCCCCACTACTACAGAAGCCGTATTTCTGTTTAGCCGTATATAGCCGTAAGTCGGTATTTGTAAATTCTCCTTGTCACCAAAATTGGCCTGGAGGTCAATATCAACATATTTTTTTATAAAAACAGTACACTTACAGGTTTGATATTCTGCAATAGCACAGCCTTGCCACCACCTTGCAGGATAACTGCAGAAGTGTTCAGGAGGTTCTGAGCCGATAGTAATAAAGGCTTGCCACCTGCTTGTCCCGCTATAAGGAGTTTTGGTTGTTGCCCTATTACTATTGGTTTTGCTCCAGTTGTTTGCTGCAAAGAATATTATTTATAAAATAAATTATAAGATATGTCATCAAAGAATGGAATCATAAATTGCTTCAAGTATACAGGGTTATTTTACAATAACCGGCCAAATTTGCAAAGAAGGTTCAGAACAAGTAACATAGGTGAAGAAAAATTAATTATACAAAATCTCAGACAATCTGTTCTTTTTATCTTTTAAATTCAAAATGAGTGATGATGCATTATTTTAAGTGATTTTACTGCGCACGGACACTCGTAAAGGTCTCTCGGTCGGCAAAAACGTTGTGAATTTAATCGCACACAGAGGAGCACACGTACGCGTAGTTGTTGCCTATAAATCACATTCAATTTGGGATAATTTCAAATAAAAGTAGAAATGGCATATTTGAACTTAAGTTTAAAATTTGGCTACTCTTTGAAAAATAAGCCTATATAGTGTAATTATGTCATAGTTTTTATATTCAAATAGTTAGCCTAATGTTTTAAATATCAAAACCTAGGTCAAAATTGCATTGTAAATAAAATAAGTTTATATAAAATGCAAAATCAACCAAGTTTTAAGACACTACTAAAATTTATTTTTATTAACTTTTTTATTTATGGTAAAGAGGACAGAATGTTTGATATTTTATTTTTAATTTTTCTTAACCATTTACTTATCATCATCATCATCATCATTCCAGCCCTTCACAAGTCCACTACTGAACATAGGTGTCCCCCAAGGAATTCCACAAAGCACGGTCCTAAGACACCTGCATTCATCGACTTCCTGATGTCTTACCAGGTCGTCACACCATCTAGCGGGGGATTAGCTTAGATTTCTTCTTATTCTGAACCTTCTCTGCAAATTTGACCAGTTATTGCAAAATAATTCTGTATTTATTCGTGTAATTTATGAATTTTAAGATTTTTTGTTTTGGCATATTTTTAAGAACTATTCAACTAATGTCAAATACCCAATTTATTCAAAGTAATAAAAAGCTGTAAGGCATACCTGTAGCAAAACAGGGCTTGATAGTGGGGCAGTGGTATCAGTTGGAGCACTTGCTTCAGGTTCTGTCTGCACTGTTTCTGCACTGCTTGCTGCAATAGAAAATATATATAATATTTAGGTGTTATTATAATCCCGAGTGGTATTATTATAGCCCTAGAAACCACCATACCACCTGTTATTATATCTGCGTACAACAATTAAGATGAGATTGAGATGTATGAAATTGGGTTCTTGACATCGTTCGTAACAGTTATACAAAAATATGTAAATAATATAAAGATAAATTATAAGCATAATTAAATAGTTTTTATTTCTGTAGTGTATGGGATAATTATAAAAACATTTTTTTAAAACTGAAAAACGAAACTAATGCTTTTACCGTAGCAAAAACGAAACGTAAAAAATTTTACAGGAAACGATTTATTTAATATGATAATTATAATTGTTAACCACAAGTTCTGCTGAACTTCTGGTTAACAATTATAATATAAGCATAAAATATTGGACATAAGTTTAACTTTAAGCATATAATATATATTTAGCAAATAATTGTTACAATCCTTATTTTTAGACATGTGAAGCATAAATTTTAATGTAATAAATCATAAAATTGCTTTGTAAACCGCCATCTACTCCATTCTATGGGTAAAGTCATTTTATCGAAAGAAAATTGATTGACTCTCAAGGTGTAACGTAAAGAAGACGCTAGATGGCATAAATACGGCTAGTTAAGAAATCGACCGTAGATGGTTATGAATGGACTGGAATATGATAATTTTATTAATTATTGTTAATTTTATTTATTTAATAAATTTGCCATTTTTTTAATTGTTTATTTTAACAGTTAAAAGATATATTAATCTTTATTTAGATTTTTCCGGCCGAGACGAAAACAGTAGTAGGAGCGGTACGGCAATTCCTTCACAGTCGCGTAAGACAATAGTATATTATGATTTAGAACCTAATCGTCATAACTTTACGAACTATTTTTATGACATCGTTACTTTACAATGTTATTTCATTAACTTTAATATATAAAAATATATAAAAGAGTGGACACAACCATGGATTGTATGAACGCTTTAAAACCATCAACGTAGATGTGAGCACATGGGATATTATCGTTATACATACTGTTACCTTTAAATTGGATGCGGAAACGGGTAAGCAGTGGGAGCTACATATTTCTAGTTTTTCCGATTTAAATGATTTGCCAACTTTAGAACAACTTAAGTATTTTATGGAAAGCCGGTTCCGTGCATTAGAGTTCACAGATACAAAAAAGACTTCGTAGCCAAAAATTCCATCTGCTTTAATTACTTGGGTAGAAATCATACTGTGTACGAGTGCAATAAGCCTACGACTTGCAGGATTTGTAAAAGACGCCATCACTCACTGTTACATCCGGAAGAAGAGAAGGCGGATATGGGTGCTGCTATCAAAGAATCAGTTGTGTGTACTAGCTCAGAAGCTAATAACTCTGCGATAGTCTCGTGTCTGTCGATGCGTAAAATCTCAGGGTACGGACAGGTTTGACTTGCTTCTGCGCTAGTAAATGCCGAGTCTAAATCTGGTGGAAGCCAAATAGTACGAGCTCTTTTAGACCAGGGCTCTCAGGCTTGTTTCATAACAGAAGCCGCAGCTCAACTTTTACAACTCAAAAAGAGTCCTATCAGGGCAACAATTACTGGCCTAGGAGAAGATAAAGCCTTAACGGCAAAATATGTTGTTGCTATTAATCTTAAGTCTCGGATAAATAATAATTATAAAATCCAGGAGATGAATAAGAATAAGTGTACTGAGCGGAAATTTTATCTCACTAAAACTGAAATAGACCATGCACTAATGTGTTGCGTTAAGAAAGTACAGAAGGAAGAATTTGGTGAAGAATATTTACAACTTAAGAAAGGTTTATTATTTAAGTCTAGTACGCTCAAATCATTGTGTCCGTATCTTGATAACAATGACATAATGAGAGTTAGTGAAAGACTACAAAACTCTCCAACTGCCAGCGCAAACAAAGCATCCGATATGTGGTAGTACCACATTCCGCATATTTTACGAAATTTGTTATATCAGAGGCACACCAGAATACATTACATGGAGGAGTCCAGTTAATGGTGAATTACCTGAGAACCATGTACTGGATTATTGGTGTAAAAAATTTTGCTAAACAACATGTTCGTAGATGTGTGACATGTGTTAGACAAAATGCCAAAGTACAAAACCCATTTATGGGATCGCTCCCTGCCGTTCGCTGTACACCGCCCGCTAGAGCATTCTTCTTACACAATGGAGTGGATTATGCTGGCCCCATAAACATTAGGACAACTAAAGGACGAGGTCACCATTCTCATAAAGGCTACATATGCTTATTTATATGTATGTCCACTCGTGCAATACATCTGGAAGCGGTAAGTGACATGAGCACCCAAGCCTTCATTGCAGCTTTCAGACGTTTCGTAGCAAGACGTGGACACTGCACACAAATATGGAGTGACAATGGGACTACGTTTGTAGGCGCTTCAAGGGAACTAAAGCAACTGAAGATCAACCAGGAAAGTCTTGCTATGTACTTAGAATCGCATGGGACTGAGTGGCATTTCATTCCGCCACACGCCCCCAACTTTGGTGGACTGTGTGAAGCTGGAGTCAAGTCTACGAAGTAGACAGTAGACAGTAACAGTAGTAACAGTAGACAGCTCAGATCCCAGTGACCCACTTCCTTTAACACCAGGGCACTTTCTAATTGGGGGACCGCTAATAGCTGTAACCGAATTCAACGATTATTTAGAATCAAATATCAGTTCATTAAAAAGGTGGCAATTCATTCAACAAATGTTACGGCGCTTTTGGCGGCGCTGGTCTCAAGAGTACTTATCTAACCTTATGAATAGATACAAATGGAGCTCTCGGAAACCAGAACCGAACGTTGGTGATGTAGTCTTGGTAAAAGAAGACAACTTACCGCCAAGTCGTTGGTTAGGTTGGGCAGAATAGTTGAAAAGCATCCCGGGATTGATAATGTTACCCGATTCAAGTCAATCATTTCTTATTAATTACTATTAAAACTGAAAAAAATCAGGAAATTATTGATTGTTTTACCTTGACAGGAACAATATTTTTTAGGTTGACGGATTAAATCATTCAATAATTCTTTTATATTTCCAATTTTCATAAAATTAATAATTTTGTTTAAATTATAACATTAAATGAAATTTATAGAGATTTATCGTTTTATTAATTTTCCTCCTCTTCTTCACTACTCTCTGAAGATTCACTAGCTGGTTCCAGATCTTATGGCATGGAGTCGTTTTACTCAAATATTATAATTTATGAGGTTTCAGTTCAATTTGAAAGTCAATTACCCCGTTTTAGTTTTTTACACTATTTGGTGATAAGAGTAATGTGATTTTGTTTAGTCTTGTCTTTGTAATTGATAATAAAAGTATGTGTATAGTGTCTATAATTTAACTTATTTCACACCTATCGGCCTAGTGTGATATTTAAAGCACAGTTTAAAAATTATCTACTTATTGCAAGTACTGCCCGATAAAAATAACATAATAAAACTACATTTAGGTAAATCAACATTCATCTATATCTGTACCACATCACTGAAAAAGTTACGGCTGTAGAGAACGTGCAACTTGTTATTTTTTCCACCTTCATCTCTGGGCGGTAAGCATAAATATATTGTACCTTATTAAGAACATGGGGTGGTAATTATCAAAACATATTTTTGCCAAGGTATTTTACAAATTATTACAGCACTGATCTAAAATAATTCTAACTATATACACAGATATTTACATGGTCATATATGCACATACATACATATTAAATCCCAAAACAAGAATTTAATCTTAAAATCTTTAAAAAAGATATTTCTTAGTAACCAATTACGGCGCGAGGAGCTTAGGCCCCCATCCGCTGTCGGCATGCTTCGATAAGCTATCTTTCTCGCACTCATGACAAGTTGTTTGTATTAACTTATCTAATCATTAGTAGCGTGTGCCGTATGCCGTGTGCTGATGGCGTAATAGGTATTCCATTGTATCTTCGTCCCGTAGGTGTCGTAAGAGGTGACTATTGGAAAATAGTCTTGTGGCTTCTGACAGATGTCAGTATAACCTCGTAATTTATGCCTGACGAGAAATACTCAGACCGGTGACTGCAGCAGAGTCAACGTTGACAGACGTTTGTGATTGACGCTTGACGATTTAGGTAAATCATCTACGGAACGGGAGAGGCTTAGTCCAGCAGTAAACTTTTACCTACTGATTATTTTTTATAAGATTAGGGTAACAAACGAGTACACAGTCCACCTGATGGTAAGTGGTTGTTGTGGGTCATAGACATCTATTCTCGATTATGAATCAAAATGCAAATGCGTTGTTACCAGTGAGGACTAAGATGGAATGCCTCGTTTCCAGTAAAAAGGGTCTCTGGTTCTAGTGTGTGTGTGTGTGTTTAGTACGGCGAGTGTAGACACTCGCCGTACGAAACACAGCAGCATTGAGCTGCTATTTTACGCTGGTATTTTGTGAGAGCGCGGTTCTTCCTCGGTGGGGACGACCCATTTGTGCTACCACTATACTAATAATATAGCTGCAGCATGACTACCACGAAAACTGCAGAACGACTGATGCAGATAGATGTTTGTAGCAGGGTAAAAACTCGGATGTTATGAAGTTAAAGTGGGCCCTTCTAATTAACCATGATTCACCACATGACACCCTTTAGCTTAATCTATCATGATTCACCGTGTTAGGGTATAGGATGATAGTATACTTACATGGTGTAAGTGGTTCATTGGCAGGTTGCTCCTCGACTTTTGGCATTTGGTAGTTGTTGAGTCCTTTCGCATAATCAGGCGGCGGCGAGGGAGGTGCTGCTGGAGGTTGTTTCTTTGCACCTTCCTCCATTTCTGATGAGACATACAAATGCTTCAGCGTTGAGAAATTGTGCTGGGATGAGGGAGTATAGCAGTGAATAGTGTAGTTGTGGTAAACTGTATTTCTAGAAGTGCAATGAGAATGGTAAAACGTGGTTAGGAATGTGGAATGTGGGTAGATGTGGTAAGCGTAGTAAATGTGGTAAGGTAAGCTGAATGCGGTAATGTAAGGTAAATGTGGTAAGAAGCATTTCCTGCAGTAGTAGTTATGTGTTAACGAGTGTTGTCTTTGAAAAAAATGTAGCGAGTGTGGTAAAAAATGTGTTAAAATTTAAAATTGTTTGGCAGGAATTTGGGGAGTAGTGTTTTATTTGGTAGGGGTTTGACCTCCGATTATAACAATACCACACGTATTAAAAAGTAATGCACCGTTTTCGAGAAAGTAAAACCTATTATAACCTTTTTAAAATTTAAAATCGTTTGGCAGGAGGCGGGGTCAGGGGAAGGTGGGAGGGGGAGTGTCCCCTAACCCCCAACATCACTCCCATCAAAAGGTACACCGTTCTTGAGAAAAATTGAAAAGAAAATCCCATAGACCTAACCTCAAAATTATAACATTTATCGTCTCCGGTAGGGGGAGTGGGAGGGGGAGCGGGGTTTTACTCCTATCACAACTGTAAGGATTTCTGAGTGCTCAAGTATTTCTGGGTAGAAAAAGAAAAAACGAACGAAGGTTGTGTCACAATCTTCTAACTAACCTATTACAACTGAGAGTATTTCTTGGCACGATAACAGCTAAATAATACACTGGATAGCATACATTCACGCAAGCAGAGGAACCAACGGCGGAATGCATAAAAATTAGTAAGTCATGCGATTTGACAATTGACAGAGAGTATAAACCACGAAGAATTTTCTCAAAACCGATGCATTACTTTTTAATGCGAGTGGTATTGTTATAATCGGGGACCAAACCTCTATCAAATAAAATACCTTAGTCCCCGAAATTCTTGTTAAATAACTCTAAATCCAACACAAGTAATGTTGTGACATATTAGAGTGTAGTCAGGTGAGTGTGGTAATAAGTGTTGTGGCATAATGAGTGTAATAAGGCGAGTGTGGCATAATAAGTGTGGGGAATGTAGTAGGAATTGCGATGAGTCGTGCGTATAGTCAATAATAATTTACAGGAACTAAAAGAGACCAAGGATTTAGGCGTCATATTTGACAGCAAACTCACATTTATACCGCATATGGAATATATTACAAAATATGCCACCAAAATGTTAGGATTTCTTTACAGAAATATTAAATTTTTCCGCAGCAATAAAACCAAAACAATGCTCTAAAATAATTTAGTACGAAATATCTTAGAATACTGTTCTATAGTTTGGAGACCACATTATGCAACACATTATTTATGCTTAGAACGAATACAAAAAAGATTCATGTGGCATTTAGTATACTCAAAAAGAAATTTTCTTCGTATAAGAAACAGCTATTTTTTTTTCAAAATTACATCCTTGGCTAATCATAGACAAATATCCGACTTAATCTTCTTAAGCAAATTATTAAATAATAAAATTAACTGCACTCAATTGTTGAATAAGATAAAATTTCGCGTACCTCATAGGTACCCCCGTAAGAGAATAATTACTATTAGACCACCTCTTCGTAGAACGGTATTTGGCACATATTCCCCGATCTCTAGGTTAAGTGAATTGATCAATGAACTTTCCCATGCATTTGATATTAATTCTGACTCACCTAACAAGCTCAGAAAAGAACTAATCAAACATAACGAATATGTAATAGATTAAGTTTTTGGATCTTTTTAATATTTTAGTTTGCTGTAACTATGTATTTATGTGTTATTCTTGATGTTTATTCCCGTGCATGTTGTAATCACCTATAATAGTTTGTAGCATTTAAAGTAATACTCTATCTACGTATGTATGTAAATTATAATTTTAACAATGTACACAAATGTTGGTGGTGCTTTAATAAATAAATAAAAAATCTGTCTCACCGAGTTTCCTGCGCTTCTTGATCTGCGCGTGCGTGGCGGGCTGCTCGTTGATGTCGAGCAGCTTGATGCCGGCGCGCGGCGGCGGCCGCGCCACCGGCGCCGCCACGCGGCCCAGGCTGCGCGCCGCCCAGCGCGACGGCAGCCCTTTCAGCGGCGCTGCGCACACACATCGTCACTTGCCACTTGAACTATTGCCAACCCTAACATTTTTTTTTCAGTTGAACTAATGGTAGGTGAATGCGATGACCCAAAAACACTTAAATCCTCTGTTAAAAATCAAATCGTAAATACGTTGTCCTATCTACAGACTGAGATATGCATCATTACCAATGAAAAGGGCCTCCAGTTCTCTAAACTCATTTTAATCTCTCTTTTTACATGGTAAAGCCATGCTGCAGCTATATTAGTAATGTAGTTGTAGCACGAATGGGTCGGCTCGCCCAAGGAAGGACCACACTCTAATAGTAAACCAGCGTAAAATAGAAGCTGAACGCCGCTGTGTTTCGTATAGTGAGTGTAGAGAACCGGTGACCCTTTATACTGGAAACGAAGCATTCCATCTTAGTCCTCACAGGTGACAATTCATCTGCATTTTGATTCCTATTCGAGGATAAATACAAATGTCTATGGACCACAGCAACCATCAGGCGGACTGTGTGCTCATTTGTCACCCTTATACTATAAAATAAAAAATAAAAACACAGCAGCACACTGTGATCCTTCCTCAATCGAACCCATTCACGCTACAATAATAAATTATTCAGTCTTCAAAAAATCGGCACAATCAACCAAATTTTCTTTATTCTTATAAACACTTCATCAATTTAAGAGCAAATAGTCTTTAGAGTATTTTTACGATGGTATAAAGCATACATGGGCAACAACCGGCCCGCGAGAAATTTTCAAAAAACCCAATTAAAAAAATATTACATTAGATACATACTCACGGGATTGACAGTGAGGCGGCAGACATCAAATCATCAAAGGATTGGATAATTTGATGTTTGCCGCCTCACGAGCGACACATCAAAAGATTTATTACTTCTCAATTATTCTGAATTAATTTATTCCAGATTTTTCCTTCATCTTGCCTATATAAGCAGGTGGATGACCCAAACGTTAGTTCCCTCCTCAGTGCAATGGGGAAAATCTATGAGCGCATCATCCTCAGCCGTCTGAAGCATGCAGTGCTAAGTAAAAACCTAATTCCAAACGAGCAGTTTCGCTTTCGAGCAAAACACTCAAGTGTTCAGCAGGTGCACCGCCTCACGAAGCACATTTTAGATCAGGCCGCGAAGGCGAACAGGCGCCCTATTTACACAGGAGCACTGTTCTTCGATGTGGCCAAGGCCTTCAACAAAATTTGGCACAATGGACTAGTTTTCAAACTTATCCATACAGGTGTACCCTTAAGACTTGTCAAAATCGTTCAAGATTTTCTTGCAAATAGATCCTTTCGTTTTCGCGTGGAAGGTACTTTTTCCTCTTCCAAACCTATCACAGCAGGAGTTCCCCAGGGCTCTGTGCTGTCCCTGACCCTATACTCACTTTACGTAAATGACATCCTTTCGTTACCAGGTACTCATCTCGCACTATACGCGGATGATACTACCATCTATTCCTCAGACGTCCACCCTATTATAATCTGCAGTCGACTCCAAGCTGCAGCACAACAGTGGTAAAACAGTGGTAGAGACACGCGGCAGCTTTTGCTGTCGCACGGATGGGCCGGCTCGAACCGGGGTGGTACCACGATCTCCCAGAATACCAGCGTGAAGTAGAGGTTTACCTCTGCGTTTCGCTTGGTGAGTGCAGGTGGCCGGAGGCCCTTTTTACTGGAAATGAGGCATTCCATCTTAGTCCTCACGGGTGACAACGCATCTGCATTTTAATTTGTAATAGAGGATAAGTGCAGATGTCTATGGGACGCAGCAACCACTTAACATCAGGTGAACTGTGTGCTCGTTTGTCACCCTTATCCTATAAAAATAAAAAAAAATAAAAAAAGCAAACGCACTTTAAGAACAAGGCAAAATTCGTTGTATATCGTCTCTTCGCCTTAACCAACAAAAGCAATAAGCTGCCCCTAAGACACAAACTGCATCTCTATAAAACCTGCGTACGTCCTATTATGACATACGCGGGTGTGTCCTTTGCTCACGCCTCCAAAAAGAGTCTAAAATAACTTCAAGTTGCTCAAAATAAATTCCTACGTCAGATCACAGGAGCTCCCTTCTATGTGAGGAACGCGGATCTTCACCGCGACCTCGATATGCCCACTATACACACGTATCTTAAGGAACTATCCTTAAGATACTTCGATTCGATAAAGGAACACGAAAATCCGTTGGTGAATGAGGCGGGCTCGTACTCCCCACTGAGGGATGCTGCCCCCCACAGGAGACGTCCCAAGAACGTTCTTCTTGATCCCGACGACGAGATCACTTCCATGAATAGGTCGATCCCGCCCCCCCCCCTCCACAAGAGAGAAAAATAGTTTAGTAATCATAAACATTCACACACACTTAGACACTACTCTAGTATGGAACACCAGGGTACACCGCATTCGCCGGCGAATGCGTCGTCACAGACACACCCCGTACACGAGGTTTAACACCCAAGATACGGGGCGTTTCTAATTTTTGAATCCCATTAACAAAACTGCGATAGTGATTCAAGCCGAGGTTCGTACCTCCTTCTGAGGGGCTCCTTGAATCGCATCGAGCCCCCCCCCCCCCTAGCTCGAGGAGCCTCACTCCGAAAGCAGGGGTCGGGGTGCCTCGAATCTTTGCACTCAATAGTTCGTAGGTCCTCACTTACGAGCCTAACTAGATGAAGCTGTCAAGGCCGCAGGGCCAACAGCGTACACATTTAAAAAAAAACATTGGTTCAGTTCTATTTGAGCTACCGAGGTGATAACTTGGACAAGCGATATCCTAGCGAACTGCTCGAGCTGTAGTTTGTTATTAAGTTTATTGAACGAAAAGTAAACAATAATGATATCTGGTGGAAAGAAACGAAAAGTAGATACAGAGAGTCGCCAGTTTGAAGAAAAATGGATTGAAGAATTCTTTTTTATCTTGCACAATGGTAAGCCTATTTGTTTGCTGTGTTATGAATCCATTTCAGTAATGAAAGATTTCAATATAAAGAGGCATTACTCAACTAAGCATGCTATGCTGCACTCACTGACAGGACAATTAAGAACAGAAAAAATCCAGAAGCTTACTGCAAATTTGAAAAAACAGCAAGAAATGTTTCATAAACAAACAACACAACTGGATAATGTTGTGAAAGCTAGTTTTATACTTAGCTCAATATTGGCAAAGGCATTAAAACCATTTGCCGAAGGAGAATTTATCAAGGAGTGTATGTTAGAAGTTTGCGGTATTTTGTGTCCTGAAACGAAAAATGAATTTGAAAAAATTTGTTTGTAAAGACGAACTGTTGTTCGACGTATAGAAATGATGGCTAATGATATAAAACAACATATTATGGCTGTTTTTGAATCATTTTCCATAGTATTAGACGAGAGCACCAATTTGTCTGACACAGCTCAGCTGGCTATATTTATTCGAGGTGTTGATAAGGAGTTCACTGTTACTGAGGAATTGCTTGCTTTACAGCCGCTAAAAGGAACCACTACAGGAGAGAGTATTTTTATTGAAGTTCAAAAGGTATTCACAAGTTTTGGCTTGCCATGGTCAAAATTAATTGGAGTATGCACTGATGGTGCTCCTTCCATGGTCGGCTTACGTAAAGGTTACATCGGAATTTTGAATGAAAAAGCAACAGAATTAAATGTACAAAAAGATGATTTGATAGTCCTTCATTGCATTATCCACCAACAGAACTTGTGTTCTAAGTCCATTCAACTCCAGAATGTTATGTATGTGAATGTGGTAGTAAAAACCATCAACTTTATTCGATCCCGAGGGCTTAACCTTCGTCAGTTCAAGGCGTTTTTGGATGAAATATCAGCTGAATATAACGACGTAACATATTATTGTAAAGTCAGATGGCTGAGCAAAAGAAAAATGTTGAAATGGTTTTACAAGCTTAGAAATGAGATAGCAGACTTTATGAAAATAAAAGATAAACCGCTCTCTGAATTCAGTGACCCAAAAAGGAATTGTGACTTGGATTTCTGGTCAATCTTACAGGCTATTTGAATGACTTAAATTTGAAACTTCAAAAACAAGGACAGTTAGTAAATTATTTGTACAGCCATTTGAAAGCGTTTCAGATCAAACTACGCTTGTGGGAGTCACATATGCTGTTTGGTAACAGTTACCATTTCAACACGCTCTCTGCGTATGAAAATATTGCTTATGCTGAATATGCTGAAGAATTCAAGTTACTGTCGGAACAATTTTCGAACAGATTTAGTGACTTTAAAAACATGGAAGACTGTTTCAGTTATTTGCTACTCCTACACAATATATTGTACAAAATGCTCCAATATGCTTACAAATGGAGTTGATCGAGATTCAGGAAAACTCACTCCTAAAATCCAAATTTGAAGACGTAGAGTTATACGATTTCTACAAAAATACCTAGAAAAAGACAATTTTCCTCAGCTTAGAAAATTCGCAAGAAGATTGATTTGTGCGTTTGGCAGTACTTATAAATCCAAACAGTTCTTTTCATTGATGAAAGTTAATAAATCAACACATCGTACAAGACTGACTGACGATAATTTGGGAAATTCTTTATGTCTTTGTATCAGTGGAATTAATCCAAATATCGATGGATTAGTTTCCAAAATTCAAGCTCAATTGTCTCATTGATTTCGGTGTATTTAACTTTCGTAGTTTGTAACAATTGCAAATTTAACGATCTAATTATAATGTACCATTTTATTAAATTTCATTTTGATATTTTAATAAATTGTACTATAATAACATTATCGTATTATTTCATGTCTAATATCTATCGCAAAAAAATATTATCACTACTTTAAAATGCACTGAGTACTTTTAAACGCGGCCCGCGAACGTATTTGCACGCTAAAGTTTGGCCCTCAACATGTCAAAGGTTGCCCCCCATACCTGGTATAAAGGATTGTAGGTGTGAATAAACAATACTTACACCTACCACCTGGAATTAAACCAATGCTTCTGAAGTGAATTTACGATCATATGCCTGGATTAAGATTTTAGAATAATTTAAGGCTGGTGTATCACCCACCACACCAAGTGATTTTTGTAGTAAAGAATTTCAAGAGTCAGTCAGGCCAGGCTTTTTGAGATTTCACAAAATATCTCCGATCTAAATTGTGTACTTTGACCCCTCCCGAGCGAGTTTGTTAGTGACTATAATATCCGCATGGTCCAGAACCCATATCAAAACGACGTTGTTGTTACACTTTAAGCTGTTTAAACATTCACGGACTCTCTCACTAGCTTTGAGGTTGCTAAGTTTGATGCTCCTAAAATGAAAAAGCCAGACTCGGCGCTCCAAAAAGCCGGACTTTTGGCCCTAAAAGCCGGACAGTAATTTTTAGAAACCTTTCTGAGGCCATGCAGCCAAAAAACTCACCAACTTCAACCCCCCCCCCCCCCCCTCCCCAAAAACTAAAATACTCCGTTACATATGTTAATTGTTTATTAATCAATCACAGCACAATTTCAAGTGTATACGTTACTTATTTATTTATTCTGCAAGCGATGCGTGCAACGCGTTACACTAACAAAAAGCCTAACAAAAGCCGTACAGGCCGGACACATAAAAATTTGGTCGAACACAACCCGAAAAAGCCAAACATGTCCGGCTAAAGCCGGACAGATGGCAACCCTAATTGTGACGGAATGGAATGGAAGCGTCAATTTTGCACCATCGCGCGGGAAGGGGCCAAGGGACTGCGCCTTGAACCTATGGTTACTGCTAAGTTATTTACTCTAGTCATTTTATTGGACAAGAGTGATTGATTGGATATTATTTTCATATTGCTTATTTGTGAGGCAGAAGAAGAAAATGATGAGAGAAGGAAGAATATCAGAAAAAGGAAAAGAAATATTTGGGTTCATTATTTATGGAAGAAATGAAAACGTCACCCTTCGTACCACTTCCCGCGGATTACATAGACTGCGCCGACAGTTGCTACAGAATTCTCGAGAATGCACGAGAATTCCACGGAAGACGCGCGACTTCTTTTTTTTAGTTAAAATCTAGTTTGCATGTTAGACAATTAACAAAAAAAATCATTTTACTATATACAACTTCGTTACAAAAATTCGCTTCCATTCCGTTCCACGTACGGATCAAATATAAAGAGACGGCCTAAGCAACTGTGCACTGTGATTCTAACTAGGTCCTGACGTCATCACAGTGAACGTGGCTTTAACGTTAGTATTCTGTCAGCGTACCTCCTATGCGCTTATGTGTCGAAAATCGCAGATCGGTGTATTTTCGTAGTATTAAGAAGAAAAGGATGAAGTGTTGTATCATGTAAAAACTACTAAGATAAATGCTCTGCTGCTATGAATGGCATCACATTTCATTTGCAACTAATTTTATACCTAATTTATAAAAATAGTTCTAGAAATATATCTGTGTCGCCTTTCAAATATAATTAAATATATTCGACACTAGATGGCGATACTTTGTGTCATGGGAACTAAAAATATAATGGTATGTAGAGCTCAGTATTGGTAAAATAATTATAGGAAGGTGTTGAAATTTGTTTTGCATTCAGTTCTAAAGAATTATTAATCGCCTAAATATCATTTTTACAGTTTTTGTAATAATGTTGTGAACAGACTGCCATCTATCGTCAAGGTAGCTAAACTACATTACAACATCGATATGGAACGATGTGAGTAGTTTTAATATTAATTGGTAGATTGAAATAGTTAAATGGGCGGGGCGGGCTAAAAACCCCCTCACCCCGCAAATTGTCACGCGTTGTTACATAGTGAAATCTAATTAAAACACCTCTTTGTATTTGCTCTATGGTTCAGCACCAATGTAAATTGAGCCTTAGAGCATTCGATCTCATGCCGTGGGTTGCCATACCATCAGTCTAGACCGAAGGAATAAAATTAGACCAGAGATTGCACACACACTTAGGCACTATAATTCTGTCTAAAAAACATTGCATGACAATTTGAGTGGTTGTACTGTTGCTTGAAAGGAATAATAATTATTGGCATGAAGTTAATAAAATAACTTACTGGTATCAGTCATCTTTCTTGGCATGCCTCGTGATCTAACAGGAACAGTGGGGGCTTGTGCCTTCTTCTGGTTTGCTTGAACTTCGGTAGCTTTCGCTAACAGTTCACTTCGTAAGGCCACAGATTTTGGTTTACGCTTAAGAGTAAAATGTTTAACTGGATTTGGTTGCTGGCCAACCTGAAACAAAATTGGGCATATCGAATTAACAAATTAAACAAACATAAAAGTAATAACCATGTGAAATGCAGAATAAAATAACAGAATACAATAAAATAATAAAAAATAATAAAAATAACAATAATGTGTTAATAAAAACAATTAAGTAGGTAAAATATTTAAATCTTTCGCATACCATATTTAAGCTCTTGAAGACTACTGGTTGGGAATCACTGGCTTACACAGTCCTCCTAGACTACTGTTTATTACCTGAGTCTACACTGTTATTCATACAAAAATAATACTGTTAATGAATGCTTCTTTTCAGTTTATTATATAATTATGTTAAAAGTTGTGATTATAATTTAATGTTAGATTAACACAGTTATTTCTTTCACTTTGTGATCCCTGCTAACTATGAAAAAATCAAAGTGGTCCCTGGTCAAAAAAAGGTTGGGAAACCCTGCTAGCCCATGTACCTGAGAGGTCATGTAGCTTTACTATTTTAAGAGAGTGAAATGAATTCCGAACAGATGTTATTGCAAAAATTGTAGTCTCAAAAACAATTATAGCTTAAATGGAATAAAGATAATAAAGAACTGCAGTAATTTATATATCTAATATACCAAATTTTGCCAATGGGTAAGATCAGAAAATGCTGAAAAATTCTCACTAGAAATTTTGTATTATAATCAACTTACCACAGATACCAATGCATTCTTATTTAAATATAGACATTCTAAAGGTAGCAGTCCAAGATCAGAGTGTTTGACTAATGCTCTTCTTAGTTCTCCAATCATATCGCTAAATATAGGTCTTGTTTCATCAAACTCCGCTATCTCTGTATTAAGTGTTCCAGCAGAGGGAAAGGTCTTGAGAACCTCTGCAAGCATGGCCACCCAAAGATCTGAGTCAACTGCTGCAACTTCAATAATTTCCTCAAGTTCGTTTCTCCACTGTAAAGTAATTTGAGGGCTTCTTTATATTAACTTTCAAGTTAAATTTTCAAATTAAGTATTGAGTGTCCTTATACAAAACAAAAACCAGCACATTAAATAAACAATTTGATTTATTTCATTTGATTTTGAATTATTTCAATATGATTTAATATCAAACATAACATGAAAAAAAAATGAGTGACAAGCTTGTCACTCATTTTTTTTTCAAGGTTTTATATGTGGTAGAGCCATGCTGCAGCTATATTAATAGTATAGTTGTAGCACGAATGAGTCGGCTCGACCGGGGAAGGACAACGCTCTCACAGAATACCAGCGTAAAATAGCAGCTTAATGCTGCTGTTTCGTATGGTGAGTGTAGAGAATTGGAGACCCATTTTACTGGAAAAGAGGCATTCTATCTTAGTCCTTAAGGCTGACAACACATCTGCATTTTAATTCACAAACGACGATAGATGCAGGTGTCTATGGGCCACAGCAACCACTTGCCATCGGGTGGACTGTATGCTCGTTTGTCACCCTAATTCTATAAAAAAAAAAAAAACAGGACTTGCTAAGGGCCCGCAGACCTTCAGCGCAGTTGATCTGGAGTGGACAAAGTAAGGCAAGCACGCAAGTCGCCTCGGGATACTCAATATTTACTTTAATTTAAAAAATGAAAATTCATTCATTAAAGACACCTTTAATGTTTAAGTTTAATATAACCACTCAACAGTCCACGGTGACTACAGTCCCCAAAAACCATTATTGCCTCACCTGTCTATGCACCAAACGACATCTTTCGGTTTAAACGTGTACAGGGCAAAAGATAGCTGTTATTAATACAGTAAAAAATTATATATGGTAAAAATTTGTCGTCTGTGAAAGTGAATTTTATCTGTATAATAGTAACAAAATATTTAGAGAAAAAAAGTTAAAATTAAATTTCGCCATTTTTCTTTATAGAATGTTAACATGTGAAAAAGTTGATCAAAAATGTAACAACTTTTCTGTATTTATACGTTATTTCTAATGTTATTGTGCATCAAACTAATTGTGAAGATATTTTCTTTAGTAAATATGTATCATTACGACAATTCCAAAACGTTTACATATAATAATTTAGCTCTAAATTTTAATCACTATATGCGATCATTGTTTATTGATTATATGTTGTTTAAAATGTATTCTAATCAGTTTCTTGTGTAAAATGAATGCAAAATATAAAATAAAGATTCACTATTAACACGTTGATAGCAATTTATAAACGAAATATCTGTTGAGATGTGTCTAGAAATTATTAAAACCTATTTTTTTTTTCATTTATTTACTTACTTATTCAAATTTTATATTGGGTAAACATTATATAATTATGTATATTGAGTATATAATGGTGTCATTTTAAAGGGAATATTATCATATACTATTATAATATAAAATAATTGTCTCCAGTAAGTATTACACTTTTCTTGTAAAACTCAAAATAAAAAATAAATACAATTTTTTTTTATATTCCCATTTTTAAACTTTATTTTCAGGCTTTATTTTTAATTTGACAAATTTTCTTTTAACAAAATAAAATATTGAATTATTTGAGTCTTTTGAGAATATTTTTTAATTTGAATGTAGCTATAGTAGTTTTTCAGTAGTAATCGTTTTTAAGACTGTCTTGCGTGGTCGTAAAAAATAGTGACATTTAATTCGGGGACAGGTCAGGCGAGAATCACTCGTGCGGGGTGTACAGTTGAGTGGATAATAACAATAAGAGTTCAAATATATCTTAACATCATTGTTGCTTTAAATAATATATTTCTGATGACCAATACCAACCATGCTGTGGGTTCGAACCACATCATTTGACTACTATTGTGAACCACTCTGAATTGAAGCATTTTAAGCTTACTTGGAGTGATTAAGGAGAGTATTAGTAATGTTAAATAGCATAAATAACTTTCTTTTTAAAAACTCCGTGAAAAAAGTATGGACCCATTTTTCTTCTCCTTGTAAATGGTGATTTTCATCTTTTGCCAATTTCAGTGTACCAATAACAAGAATACAATACCCGTGTACAAAAGAAGATAATGTTATTGACTTGTTCAAGTTTATATATATTTTTACTTGCTGCATGCAATATATTAAAAAAATATTAACTATATGTAACTTAATTATTTTGTTAACAATACTTTATTTAATCTACAATTTTACATGCCAATGACATTCTCTGCTGAACATTGAGCTAAAGTAGACATAAAATATAATACTTCAAAATACCGTGTGTTTTAAATAGGCCATATCATGAAACAGGTAGTAAACAGTTATTAATTATGAGTAGAGTGATGAAAGAAATTAAAGGAAATGGATGAGTGGAAAGAATAATGGGAAAAATATTACATTGTAATTTGATTAAGTTGAGGCTTTATTATATTTAGGCATTTTTACAAAGCATTGCAAAAAATTTTAAAAAAATATTGTGAAAATATTAACTATACATTGGATATCATAGATATACACTTTCATTAACTCACTCCTTAATTTAAAGAATCTTTAAACTCTTTTGAATAATTGGAAGGATAATTCTGTCCTCTAATTACAAAATGTGACAAAAATAAACAAAACTTATTATTAATTAAACAACAAAATACTAGTTTTTAATACAATAGGCAACATGTAATGGCATATTCTGGGAGAAAATTTAAATGTTTACCACTAACTGCGCCGACAGCATCAATTAGAAAACGCACAAACACTTTATCAAAGAAAAACACTGATATTACAATATTTTGTTCAAATTTCTTGGATTATTGACAACAAATAAAGTTCTCAATAAATAATTCATCCCGCTCTTACATGTTCAATTAAATTGATGGAGAAAGAGACATAAAACGCAATATAGATATGCAAAACCATAGAATATCAAAGAGAAAAGTTACCTCTTCAACATTTCTGCGCGGGATATGAAAGAAACTTAACAATAATTTCAGTTTCACTTGTGTTTGCAAATCTGGGAAACAATCCTTGATATTTTTCAACACTTCTGCATTTAATTGTGTACAAATTGAGCCACTTGTCCAAGAATCATTCGATATTCCGAGTTTATTGTGGAGCCACAAGGAAGTGTCACTATCCCGAACGTTCGCCATCTTGCAACTGGCTTGTGAATAGGGATGCAACGATATATCGACACCTAAAAATATCGATAGTTATCGATATCGATGATATAGCGATATCGATAATTCAATATCGTAAAAAACGCGATATATCGAACAGGACATATCGAAACAAAATATTGAAAACCAGCACAAATTAAAATATTCACAAAACCGGGTAAAATGCTATTACTGACATGGCAACACTGACTGTGTTACAAAGTGATTCTGTTCTCTAATCTATGGTAAGTGTGTAAGTCTGTGGCTGTGGTAGACTTGAGTAGGCTGAGCTGAGCTGTCATTGATTGTTATTTTTGCATTTATTTACTGCTAATTTAAATATGAAAAGAAGTAAATTGTGGTCTTATTTCAAAAAAGAAGGAGACGGTAATGTTATTTGCACTATTTGTAACAAACGAGTTAAAACTTCTGGAAATACAAGCAATCTAGCATCACATATGAAACACAAACATCCAGAAGATTGTGATGTGGACGATAAATCCTTGGATAAATCACAACGGTATGTCGCTAGTTTCTCAGTTAATAAACACAAAATACTATGAATATACAATTTAATATAATTTAGGTTACATTTGATGGAAATATTTAAAACAAATTTTTAAGTTATCATTCGTTTTATCTATAGTATTATGTGGACTATCGACGATTGAATATATCAATATCGGTATAAGCGGATACATAACGCGAATATATAAACGCATATATTCTTTTTTTTGACAAAATATACCTAAGCATGCAAATGGTTGTATAAGACAAAAACAATTATATATTTAGTCTAGCAAAATAAAAATAAGTATCGTTGTTTTTTTTTCTTTTTCAGTAAGTTGACTGAATGTGGTGGTACTTCTTCTAGTTTGTCTAGAAGTGCTGGAGTCAGCGTTAATCTTCAAACATCGGACGAAAGTGCTAAACCCCCTGAAACGTCAGTTGATACTGTTGAAGCTTCTTGTTCGTCTGCTGTGGTTGTGTTCCCTACAACTAAGCCCGCTACTCCTAATACGTCTGCAAACACTCCAAAAATAAAACAGGCTTTTGAAAATGTGTATCAATATTCTAAAGGTGGTGCAAAATACGACCGGATAACAGATGCTATTGCGTATTTTATTGCAGTTGATAACAGGCCGTTTTATGCGGTTGAAGGAAAAGGTTTTCGACATTTGATTAAGGAACTAGCCCCTTTGTATAAAGTGCCTTGTCGGGAAACGATTAAAGCAAAGATTGATAAAAAGTATGACACATTATCAAAATTTGTGGCGCATAAATTGAAAAATGTGGATTACTTTAGTTTGACTACAGACATTTGGACAGAGACATTGACTAACACTGGTTATCTGGGACTTACTGTTCATTTTTTGCAACAGAATGAATTACAATCTGTGACTATTGGAGTTTTCGAATTAGAAGAAAGTCATACTGGCGAGTACATTGGACAACAATTGACAGGAATATTAAGAAGTTGGAATATAGATACTGAAAAAGTTATGGCTTTCGTTACAGATTCTGGTGCAAATATGGTTAAAGCAATAAGAGAGACGTTTGGGGCACACAAACACATCCCATGTTTTGCTCACATGATAAATAGAGTTGCTGAAGAGGCCATAAGAAAAACTTCCGGACTGAGTGATATAATAGAGCATGTTAGGAATATAGTAAAATACGTAAAAAAGAGACAAGACATGACATTGGAATTAAAAAGAAAGCAAATAGAAAGTAAAATACCCGATGAAAAAGCTCTTAAAGTGATACTTGATGTAAAAACGAGATGGAATTCCATGTACTATATGCTTGAACGATTTTTGGATTTGGCGCCATATATAAGTGACATAATTTTTTGTAAAATAGATGCACCTACAATGTTGACAGCAGTTCAGCTCAACACTATAAAAGATGTTGCTTATGTTATGCGTCCACTGGAAGCTATGACAAGAGAGGCTTCTGCCGAACGTTACGTCACCATTTCTAAAATTGTACCCATGGTGAGTTGTGCAATTGACCAATACAAGGAATTGGGGGTGACTTCGACTATTGCTGACGAATTGAAGAGAAATATAACGCTGGAGATAGAAAAGCGTTTCGGCCATCTTGAATACAATATGTTGTTAGCCGTTTCTACATTGCTAGACCCGCGTTTCAAGAACTTGCATTTTAAAAAACCGGAAGCTTGTGCGAAAGCAATGTCTCGAATTAGAAAATTCATTTCTGAATATAAATCTGCCGTAACGGCTTCGTCAACTTCTTCAGAAGATGAAGAAAAAGTTGAATTTGATTTTTGGAAGTACCACAAATCTTTGGCTCACACGCAAATAAAAAGAAAAAAAACTGACGGTGACGATGAACTCACGTTATATCTCTCTGCCCCTGTAAATACTTTAAAAGTAAATGTTCTTGAAACATGGCAAGAGATGCAGGGTGTATATCCGAATCTTTTTAAAGTGGCAATGTGTCATCTACCGATTGTAGCAACAAGTGTTCCATCAGAACGTCTTTTTTCGAAGGCAGGAGCTACTATAACCCAGAGCCGAAACCGGCTACATGGAAGCAGACTTTCTAAGTTATTATTTTTAAGTTCAATAGCTGGTACAAAATACTGGAATTAATTTTTTTTTTTACATTATATATTAAAATAATACATTTTTTATTTCCAAATTTTCATTTTATTAACCTTAAAAAAAAGGAAAATATCGATATATCGGCTTCGGCGTACTTGACCGATATATCGATATATAAATATCAACTTCATTCAATATATATCGATATCAATATATCGATATTTTTAAAAACTTTGCATCGCTACTTGTGAACTGAGCGAAGGAGTAGTGACGTATCTGTTATGTGTACATTTGGTATTGTTGTGAGTGATCTGGATATGGAATTAGAACTGAACTATGAGTTGAAAGTTTTTTTTGAATAAGTGTTCAATTTTTTTTAAATATATTCATCATTTCATCATCATTGATGAAAATCACTGAATGATGTTGACTGATGTTCAGTGATTAAAAGTTCTATAATTAATTTAAGATAAAATTGGTTACGTGTTCCTCAATATAGAATTTCTAACTTGATTCGTTTTAATAGTAAATAAATTGTCTTTAACTTTTTTTTTTCTTTTATTCTAACATACTATTTTTTGAATATACACCTTTTTTTGAAATTTACTATTAAAGAACGATATAAATTTTATTTCAAATAAATTTAAGAACATTGTACATTCGTTTAACTATCATTTATGGAACTGCAATAGAATTTTGCACCCGTTCAGTGCGTAGCTCTTATAAAGGTGAAGTCGGCAACCCCCAACGGTCATTGGTACCGAATTTGGTAACTTTTTCACATTGTTATGTTTTACGTTGGATATATATGTTAGGTTCACTGTGCTATAATTTGCACTGACCTTTAATATACTATTGACTCGTCTTACTTGTAATGGCCACAATTTCTACTAAACGCACATCCTACATTCACAATAACACATACACTTGCTCAACTAAGTGCCGTTCTATTCTTAATTCTCATAATATCGTTTTACTTTCTACTTTTAAAAAACCATCACTTTCGTCATAAACCTATAAATGATAATATTTACACCTATTCATGAGCTATGAAATTTACGAACCAGTATTTCTTCAGTCTTTTTGACTCATTTCTAATTGTGGTATACATTAGCTTGCTACATATTTATTTATCTATGGTCTACATATTTATTTATCTATGTTTGTGATTTCGAACCGAACATATATATTTATCTATGAACCGAACGTTTCGAAGGGTGACCACCACAGACTTAGGCTGGCTTTTCACTATGGGATATAATATATATTATATCCCGAAATATAAATTATATCCCGCGATTGGCTTTCACACTGTGAGATATATCTTTTAACCAGTGTGCGTTCGTCATTGATCATTGAATTACCCCCCTTTACCCCGTACACCGTTCTGCGGGGGCGCGGAACTGTGTGCGGGGTACAGGGGGCGAAATATAATATGAAAATATCGCTCGGTCGATCTAAAAATTATTTATAGCTTGAGATGTAATATATATTATAGTTCAGTGTAAACGGTTCCATATGAAATGTATGGTGAGCGATATTAATTTATATCTCGAGATGTAATATATATTATATTATATCCCATAGTGAAGAGCGGGCTTAAAGCCCGCTTTTCGCTATTGGATATATTCTAATATAATATATTATATCTCGAGATATAAACTAATAACGCTCACCGTACTTTTTAATGGAACCGTTTACACTGAGATGAAATATATTTTACACTAGCTGTGCCCCGCGGTTTCACCCGCGTCATCACGTGTCGATGGTGCGCGACATGACCTAGTTCAAGCATTTTATAATTGCAATTAAATATTTTATTTGGTAGCAATGGATGGAAAAATTGGCATAATTAATGGAGTACTTTTATCTGTCGGCATATTATGTATGATGGTGAGTGAAGGTAAGTTACCTCCCCCCCCCCCCCACGTTCTCACCGGGCGGCTAGGGTTTATGCGTTGTTCGCGCGCCCAGCCAAGTATTGAATTATTTTAATTTTACATTATCTCTTAAACTATGCGTCCAAATAACATGGTATAAAGAACAAAGTTTATCTTCACAAAATTGTCTTGATGATGAAGTAATTTTCGTTCATAAGGATAAATAGGCCATGCCTAATAATAACGCTCATAAATCACTTTTAAATTTTCAATATTTTTTGTCACAAAATACCTATTTATGGCTCATGTATAAGAAATAGACATATGGTATCGCGGACTTTTTTTAGACGGAGTAAACATCTATATTTTTCTAGAACATTGTATTTACGTACGTCAGCGTACGCGGATAAATCATTTCGGGAGTGCTTTTTCTTCTGACTTGCTTAACAAATATCCATATTTAAGGGTAGCTGAGTGATATAAATAGAAATAAGAAATAAGAAATAAGAAATATTTATTCAGTTCAAAGAATATACAAATACTG